AGTACGCCGACGTTGAACTCTAGGAAGGCCCTCTACGATGCGTGCTTAGAGGCGGCAACGAAGATCAACCAGTTAGAAGAGAAAAAGCGCACAGTTGAGAAGGAGCGCCGGGACAAGAAGAAAACGAGTGCTCGACCCGACGCGCTGATGGAAGACTGAGAGTTGGAAGAAACTACCCAGGTCGCCAAGTTTGCAGGCACGTTAGGAGCTGCGAGAGTCACTAAGGGAGTAATGTTGAACGAGGTAGTGGTATAAGCACTTTTAGATACGGGTGCAACTACGTCTATCGTGAGTATGGACCTCACACGTCAGTTAGGCTTAGAAGAGGCTGGCGCTGGTGCCATCAGAGGCTTGTTTACCAGGAAACAGGTGACGGTGTTCAAGGCGTCATTGGCTACAAAAGACCGCCGGATGGAGACTGTGCTGTATTCCAGCGAGGAGCTCAAGGACGATGAGCTGATGTTGGGCGTACCAGACATGATTGCGCTAGGCATCTTCGATGCATTTAAGTGCCAGTTCCATGTGGAGAGCTGTTACAAGGTCAATGCGGTGTCACTGGTGGAGGAGGAGAAGTCAGACCAAGACTTGTTGGCGGTGGCGAAGCGACTGATAACAGATATGACGTCTCATCTGGAAGGTGTTGTTAGAGAGAGACTTCGGGGTTTGTTACAAAAACATTCGAAGTGTTGGTTGCAGCCAAGGACAGGCAGAACCCGGCATAGTGTGGAGTTCGAAGTAGACGGGAAGCCGGTGAAGCATACGTTGAAGCCGTTAAGACCAGAGTTACGAGAGGAACTAGATAAGCAGATAGACGACATGTTGAGCATGGGTGATACAACCTAGTAATTCCTCGTGGGGAGCAAGACCGGTGTTTGTACGTAAGAAAACTGGTGAATGGAGAATCTGTATCGACTACCGAGCGTTGAACAAGGGGATGACGTTGAAGGCCTACCCGATACCGTTGCTGTGGGAGCAACTGCAGTTAGCGGCCGGTCACAAGTATTATGTGTGTCTAGACTGTAATCATGGCTTTTGGAATGTACCCCTGGGGGCAGAAAGCCGACAGTTTACTGCGTTTGTGTAGCATAGGGGCACATTCGAATACACTGTGACTCCGTTTGGTGTTAAGAACTCGCCGATCCTGTTTCAGCAGGTGATGGA